GCGTAGTAACTACATTTTCAGTGGCGTAGTGACTACATTATCAGTGGGGTAGTGACTACATTATCAGTGGCGTAGTAACTACATTATCAGTGGGGTAGTGACTACATTATCAGTGACGTAGTAACTACATTATCAGTGGTGTAGTGACTACATTATCAGTGGTGTAGTAACTACATTATCAGTGGCGTAGTGACTACATGATCAGTGGTGTAGTAACTACATTATCAGTGGCGTAGTAACTACATTATCAGTGGTGTAGTCACTACATTATCAGTGGGGTAGTAACTACATTATCAGTGACGTAGTAACTACATTATCAGTGGTGTAGTTACTACATTATCAGTGGCGTAGTAACTACATTATCAGTAGCGTAGCAACTACATTATCAGTGCGGTAGTAACCACTATCAGTGGCGTAGTAACTACATTATCAGTGGCGTAGTGACTACATGATCAGTGGTGTAGTAACTACATTATCAGTGGCGTAGTAACTACATTATCAGTGGTGTAGTGACTACATTATCAGTGGTGTAGTAACCACATTATCAGTGCCGTAGTATCTACATCATCAGTGGCGTAGTAACTACATTATCAGTGGCGTAGTAACTACATTATCAGTGGTGTAGTAACTACATTATCAGTGGTGTAGTAACTACATTATCAGTGGCGTAGTAACTACATTATCAGTGGCCCAGTAACTACATTATCCGTGGCGTAGTAACTACATTATCAGTGGCGTAGTAACTAAATTATCAGTTGGGTAGTAACTACATTATTAGTGGCGTAGTAACTACATTATCAGTGGTGTAGTAACTACATTATCAGTGGGGTAGTAACTACATTATTAGTGGCGTAGTAACTACATTTTCAGTGGTGTAGTAACTACATTATCAGTGGCGTAGTAACTACATTATCAGTGGCGTAGTAACTACATTACCAGTGGGGTAGTAACTACATTATCAGTGGTGTAGTATCTACATTATCAGTGGGGTAGTAACTACCTTATTTGTGACGTAGTAACTACATTATCAGTGGTGTAGTAACTACATTATCAGTGGCGTAGTAACTACATTATCAGTGGCGTAGTGACTACATTATCAGTGGTGTAACTACATTATCAGTGGCGTAGTAACTACATTATCAGTGGCGTAGTGACTACATTATCAGTGGGGTAATAACTACATTATCAGTGGTGTAGTGACTACATTATCAGTCGTGTAACTACATTATCAGTGGCGTCGTAACTACATTATCAGTGGCCTAGGAACTACATTATCAGTGGGGTAATAACTACATTATCAGTGGCGTAGTAACTACATTATCAGTGGTGTAGTAACTACATTATCAGTGGTGTAGTAACTACATTATCAATGGTGTAACTACATTATCAGTGGCGTAGTAACTACATTATCAGTGGTGTAGTAACTACATTATCAGTGGCGTAGTAACTACATTATCAGTGGGGTAGTAACTACATTATTAGTGGTGTAGTAACTGCATTATCAGTGGGGTAGTAACTACATTATCAGTGGCGTAGTAACTACATTATCAGTGGCGTAGTAACTACGTTATCAATGGGGTAGTAACTACATTATTAGTGGCGTAGTAACTGCATTATCAGTGGTGTAGTCACTACATTATCAGTGGGGTAGTAACTACATTATCAGTGACGTAGTAACTACATTATCAGTGGTGTAGTTACTACATTATCAGTGGCGTAGTAACTACATTATCAGTAGCGTAGCAACTACATTATCAGTGCGGTAGTAACCACTATCAGTGGCGTAGTAACTACATTATCAGTGGCGTAGTGACTACATGATCAGTGGTGTAGTAACTACATTATCAGTGGCGTAGTAACTACATTATCAGTGGTGTAGTGACTACATTATCAGTGGTGTAGTAACCACATTATCAGTGCCGTAGTATCTACATCATCAGTGGCGTAGTAACTACATTATCAGTGGCGTAGTAACTACATTATCAGTGGTGTAGTAACTACATTATCAGTGGTGTAGTAACTACATTATCAGTGGCGTAGTAACTACATTATCAGTGGCCCAGTAACTACATTATCCGTGGCGTAGTAACTACATTATCAGTGGCGTAGTAACTACATTATCAGTTGGGTAGTAACTACATTATTAGTGGCGTAGTAACTACATTATCAGTGGTGTAGTAACTACATTATCAGTGGGGTAGTAACTACATTATTAGTGGCGTAGTAACTACATTTTCAGTGGTGTAGTAACTACATTATCAGTGGCGTAGTAACTACATTATCAGTGGCGTAGTAACTACATTACCAGTGGGGTAGTAACTACATTATCAGTGGTGTAGTATCTACATTATCAGTGGGGTAGTAACTACCTTATTTGTGACGTAGTAACTACATTATCAGTGGTGTAGTAACTACATTATCAGTGGCGTAGTAACTACATTATCAGTGGCGTAGTGACTACATTATCAGTGGTGTAACTACATTATCAGTGGCGTAGTAACTACATTATCAGTGGCGTAGTGACTACATTATCAGTGGGGTAATAACTACATTATCAGTGGTGTAGTGACTACATTATCAGTCGTGTAACTACATTATCAGTGGCGTCGTAACTACATTATCAGTGGCCTAGGAACTACATTATCAGTGGGGTAATAAGTACATTATCAGTGGCGTAGTAACTACATTATCAGTGGTGTAGTAACTACATTATCAGTGGTGTAGTAACTACATTATCAATGGTGTAACTACATTATCAGTGGCGTAGTAACTACATTATCAGTGGTGTAGTAACTACATTATCAGTGGCGTAGTAACTACATTATCAGTGGGGTAGTAACTACATTATTAGTGGTGTAGTAACTGCATTATCAGTGGGGTAGTAACTACATTATCAGTGGCGTAGTAACTACATTATCAGTGGCGTAGTAACTACGTTATCAATGGGGTAGTAACTACATTATTAGTGGCGTAGTAACTGCATTATCAGTGGCGTAGTAACTACATTATCAGTGGTGTAGTAACTACATTATCAGTGGTGTAGTAACTACATTATCAGTGGTGTAGTAACGACATTATCAGTGGCGTAGTAACTACATCATCACTGACGTAGTAACTACATCATCAGTGACGTAGTAACGATTCCCAACCCGTGGACCGTGGACCCCTATCGGTGCGTGAGGGTACTACAAAGTGGGGGGGAGGGGGGAAGGGTGGGGGGGATCAGCGGAATATAAATTAATGATATCCTCACAAATGTACAATTTCAAATAGCTAGTAGCAGCAGCGTTCGGTGGCCCCGCGATATTTCTTGGAGGTTGAAAAGAGTGTTCGCACACTCCCAAAAGATTGGCAGCCGCTGAAATAGTCCACCCGTGGTGACGAACCTTGCTGGCTGTGTCGGGTGGTGGAGGGTTACGACACATTTTTACATACGCGATCTAATCTAAAAAAAAAGCTTTATTATGAATAATATTGGTCGCGAAAGCTTGCTACGTGGTAAAGTTACACCTGTGGATTTCGCTGCACGGTCCTGTACTGGCAAAAATACCATATCTCCGAAGCAGCCTATAACACCTGTTATCGTGAATGTATTGTTCGTTATTATCGCGCACATCCAAGGGCTTGTGGCAAGCTCAACGCTGCTTCAACTTTTGACGAGATCGGGGCACGTTTTGGATGCTAGGTTAATATATTCACACGTGTACATATCCACATCTGATGTGTAATTGTCGCCATAGCTACGCCACCACTTTTAATAACAACGCTCTTTCATTTCAACCACTATCATCTTATGTACAATAAAAAAAACTAGTGTAAGGCGCTTTTATATATATAATTCAAGGCGCTATGTGAACCTGCATAAGGCAAAAGTGGCAAATTTAGGCTCGATAGCAAAACAAACATTTACTCGAGCTACGTTGTTGCGCGGCGCTGATCCACGTACCCCTCCCACACAGCCCCGTGATTTATAATTCATTGCGAATGGGTTTTCAATTTTGCTGACGCATCCCGGCAAATGAAGAAACGTCGCACCCGAGCGTTGTATTATTCACAATGGAAAAGACTCCCCGCCCCCCCAACTCCCCGCCAACGTTGTGGGCCATGGACACACTTGGTGAGCGCCACGTGCCGTTAGCGATGCGTTAATGTCAGTTCAGTTTATTTATTAGGTATAGAGCCTTGTGAGCCATTGCGGCTCTTGAATCGGGTGCAACCGCGACGAACAAAAAAACATGAACAAGAAAACATCTTAAAGTGACCACGCGCAAACATAAAACAAAAAAACACGCAGGAAAAAAAACCCAGCAAAAGTCTTCCAGAAAAAAGCACCGCGTATCAACGCTGTGGTGCACAAAATCCCAGTGGGATGCAAGTTGCAGAGCAGCAGCAGCAGCAGCACACTCGCGTCTCAAGACCCTGACGTTTACACATCGCACCGTGTAGCCGTTTAATGCCGAGCCGACCTAGGGGAAGCCCGGAACGGGTCAGGCTACCGCAGGTCCCCGCTAGATCGAAGCCCGCTGGGTTCACAACTCAGTGCGCCAATCACTGTGCCACCACTCCCGAGAACCATGTACGGCCGTCTGGAACGCTCTTCCGATATTGGGAAGCTACTGGAACTACGCACTTTTAAATGATCTACATTGAAAAATGAATGTATTTAGAATTGCTCCGTTTGCCAGGAATCGAGTGCACGTCGCTGGGTTCAGAGCTTTTTGCTAAACACCGCGACACCGATGGCGCAATCTAAACAGCTCTCAACCACCAATTGTACAATGTACACACACACGCGCGCGCCTCCGATTAGCACGGTTGGCTACGTACGTTACGAAAGAAGTCCAACGCACACAAACACGCGTGGGTGACGTAAATCCCGACGCTGATTAAGACTCACAGCTCGTCAATCGAGAACGGCCGGTTAAAGGCGATCAGAAAAACACAACAACGACCGCTCGATTATATCGCGGCAGACGCGAAAGCCATCGTCTTCTTCTTACCTCTGAACTTTGCGTAAATCAAGGGGCGATCCTTCTCCGTTGTTTCCATGCCTCTCGAGTCTCGGTCTCTCGATTTTTGACTCCGACTTTTTTTTGTCGTGTTCTTTTGCTGTTGCTGATGTTGTTGTTGTTAAAACTTAAACCGCTGCCTTGCGTTCAATTTCTATTTTTTAACAAGAAAAACACGCAAAGATAGCTGCCACCACCACCACCATCACCGCCGCCGCCGCTACCGCTCCCCACAGAGCCTTGCATACGAAGAGGCGGGGGGGGGGGTGTAAGAGTTTTTTGCTGGCAAACTATTTGTTGGTTCAACTGCTCCCGACGGTCTGCAATCAATTGTCACCCTGGCTACCGTTGCCTGGTGTCGCATGGATGATTAGCGGAGCAGTTGCGGAAGCTTGGGTTGTCGGGCACCCCACACACACCACCACCACCCCTCCCTCCTCCTTTCTGCCTTGCTTGGGTTTCACGGCTTGTGGAGAGGAGCGAGCGAGCCGGGCTCGGAGCCAAACTCACTTGAGCAGCGAGAGACAACGACTGTCCGTCCGTCTACTCGCAGTCCATCCACCCACCCAACCATCCACATCGCCTGTCCATTTGTACATCGATATTCAGAGGCGTCTGAATAGCTGTCGAGAGAGAGAGAGGTAGGCGCACGTGCGGACACAATGAGAGCGGTAGCCACACACACGCACGCACAGAGAGAGACAGTACTTGCTCCGGCAGTACATAAACTAAAATTGGAACGATACAGAGAAGATTAGCATGGCCCCCTGCGCAAGGACGACACGCAAATTCGAGAGACAGAGTGGAGGCAACGTGGACACAGGGAGAAAGACAGATGGTGGAGAAAGACGGACAGAGATGAACAGGGAGAAACAGGAGTAATAGACGCAGACATCACGAAGGAGTCATCCACGTAAAGACGAAGATGGAGAGAGAGATAAATACGGGGAGACGGAGAGACATACAGAGGCAGACAAGGTGTGCTTAGAGAGACACATCGAGATGGACGGAGAGACATAGATGAACAGCCTTAGAGACACAACAATACACCCTTACAGACACATGCAGAGGCACACCGACAGACGCACCAGAGAGACGCATCGGAACCAGTGTACAATATTACGGCTTAATTTAACAAATTGTATCAGGCATAGGATATTAACTCGTGACCAGTCAGCACTAACCTACTAAAAACGCAGTGTCAATCATATAAACCAGTAGTCTAAACCAATGTAGACTCTAAATTTTGATTTAAAGCTTTCGTGACTGCAGTAATTCATATTCTTAGTTCTTTCGGTAAAGTCGTGAGAATTTTTATTGTTTTATATATATTTTATTATTTTGTTGTTTCCCTTCAACGTGACTTTACCGAAAGAACTAAGAATATCAATGTAGACTATCTAAAGCAGCGTAACTTAAACCAAACTAACAAGGACAAAGCGTGTCGATGTTAATGTTTGTAATTATACTGTGCGGCAGAAAGAGGAACACATAGTTTAGAGAACGTGAATGCAAGTTGGAGACGTCATGAATCCTGCTTGCCATCGCATCGCGTGCTTTCGGATGCGCTTCTGCGGCCGTCTGGAACGCTCTTCCTTCCGATATTAGAAAGCCACGACTGGAAGCGGACGATGGCCGGTGGCCGAGACTAACGACAGAGTGGCAGCCTAAAGGGGGGATCGTCACCAAGGAGACCTCCACAGCGGAGACGGGAGCTATCAATTGAGTTTGTACGCGGGTGTTTGAGCGATCGCTGCATCACAAGACTGTGACATACCGTGACGGTTTGGGGGAGGCCTTCATCCAGAAGTGTATATAGATCATTGTGGTCTCGACGATTCACTGCTTTACGTCAGTGGTTCTTAACCTGGGGTACACGCACCCCATGTGAGAGTGCGTGATGCCCTATTCTGGAGAATGCGAGACGTGGCCAGTTTTTTTTTGTCGAAGGTAAATAATCTAAACACAAATTGAGCTCGGGCACGTAAGTACAACTACTGTGTTTCATCAAACCTATGTATTTAGGTCTTTTTTTATTGAGGTTGTTTTTTCATAAAAGCCTACGTGTTAAACTGAGGTTGTTTTAACGATTGAGAATGCAAGGGGTGCAAGGGCCGCAGTAAAGGTTAAGAACCACTGCTTTACGCAATACTTTAAAAACAAAAATAGGGCTTAACGAATTCTGGAAAAGGTTCCATCGGGACAAATCAACCGAGGAAATAATCCAGGTGGCACGTTGGAGCCATTCCAATTTGACGAACCCGGCTCATTAAACAAAGAGAGCGTTTATATCGGTGGAAAGTGCTTAAATTTTTTTTTTACAATTTCTTTGACAAAGGCTCCTTTGTCGAACTGAAGATCGTCAAGTGTTCCCAATAGTCCCTCGGGCACAATGTACAAAGACAGCCATTGGTTTAAAAGCAACACTCAAGGCACATTTCTTTCATGCAGCTATGAAATACCAAAAAGTGACGTGTAAATTCGTCAGCGTCACCATCAACGCTGAATATTTATACCGTGACTCCAATGCAGAACATCTCGAGGTGCCCTTGCAGTAGTCTCGCCAAGGTCAACCTCCAGCGGCAGCTGTCCCGGTGGCATCGCAAGGAGAACGCGGCACACCACCAGCTGTGCAAGCGGCCACTCGGTCTGCCAGCGGGACGCGACGATGCCGATGTGGCTTTTACCAACTTGAGTCATTTGCGAGTCGAGTTTTCGAACTTGGCAGATTTCGACCGCGATGGCAGCGCACAATCCCTACGCTTTTTTGTTCTTTAGAATAACATCACCTGATCTTGAAAGTCCGCTGTGAAGCAGATTCCGCGTATCTGTGGTTTATAAAGCTTTCGTGACTGCAGGAATTCATATTCTTGGGTCTTTCGGTAAAGTCACGTAGATAGGTTCAAAGAAAATAAAACTAATTAAAAAACTGCGACGTTTCGATCGCAACACAAGCGGTCGTCTTCATGAAAAGGGGGGTTAACTTCCAAGGCAAATTGTTTATAAGGGTTTGAAATGGGCGTAGCCCAAATGTCAAATCTGAAACACGGAAGGACCAATACCTTGGCCGTGGCTGATCATTGTTTGAATACAGACACAATTTCAACCGAGAAGATGGGTACAAACTGAGCAATCATTTGAAGGACGTTATCAACCAGTTTAAGTCATAGCTGGCTATGATATTTCCAGCCTACCACCATCAGATGTGAGTTGTGCTTTACGCCCATTTCAAACTTGCGCTTTCACAGGGTTCACACTCACACAGCCACTTCGCGCGCTTACCTCTTGGTTGTGGCTCTGCGATCCCTCATTAACATGCTAATCTCTCTTTAACATGCTAATCTCCCATTAACATGCTAATCTCTCATTAACATGCTAACTTTCTGGCAGCCCTTTGATTGGTGGAAAACCAACCACTGTGGGGTTGGCTGCCCACCACTTACATTATTATTGGCTGCTGACATTTGAGCTACGCCCATTTCAAACCCTTCTAAACAATTTGCCTCGGAAGCGAAGCCCCCTTTTCCTGAAGACGACCGCTTTGTGTTGCGATCGAAACGTCGTAGTTTTTTTGTGTTCTTTTATTATTTTTGTTATTTTCTTTGAACCCATCCACGTGACTTTACCGAAAGACCCAAGAATATACGACTCTCACTGCGCGAGCCAATCGTGAATGCAGACTCATCAAGGGGCCAACCCATCCATGAAGACTACAGGACCCGCCCAATCCCCACCTGAAATGGAGCAAGTCGTTCTTGAGCAAAGGCAGATAACCCTCTTACACATTTCGGCTTCTGCACCCTGGGAGAAATGGCAAGAGATTTTGGCGAACACCGACATCTCAGAGGGAGCATCCGATCGCCGATCCCACTGAAAAACCTAAGGGATGTAATCTAACCTTCAAAAAAAAAAACGCCGGCCCGTGTTATATTGAATCCTCGCGTCTCACTGCAGATCCACCCCATGACATTCGGTACAAATCCAAAGAAAGAACAGCATTCGATTGTGGAAAATCCAACCGGACCATCGCCCACATTAGTCGCGAACCACCGTGAACTCTACGTACACATCTAAGCAATCCATCGCTTGTCACCAGAAGCCAATCCGTGGCTAAACTAATCAGGACCACACAGCCTTTTATATTGTTAGTCATCCACCCAGCTACACACAAGAGACAGTGTCATCCTAAGAGTTTATTCAGAGGCCGTATGCAACGTCCCAAATGCGATTTCCAACAATGCCACCAATCCAAAAAATAAAACACCAAGGACAACCATGGCTATACTGTAGTGATTAATCCTAACATTGATGAAACCAGTATAGAGTTGTCTCATTGTCCTACTGCGGCCAAAAGTAATGTAATTCGGTGGTTTTAAACAAGGCCGTGTGCATTATACACGCAGTGTGGTCATGCCATGTCTCATGCAAGGCAAGATGGAAAGACAGCCTATGATAACAATCACCGTATGCATGTAATATTGCTCATTGTATCCAGCCTGCACACACTTTTCTGCTGGATGATCTTCTCATCATTTACAGAAAGTGTTGGCGATGTCCTACGGTCAATGAAGAGCATCTGTTAAAGATTAAACGGGAAGCGTTGGAATTGCTTTGCCAACTGGTAGCGTCGATACGCCACGGCCAACTGCGCAGTCACTTCTCCGGAATCGCGAGTGCTCCCCACTCGGATGGCAGTGCAAGTATTGTTTCGCACACTCCCACGTGCTCGACGCAAAACGGGAACCCGTCACACGAGCCTGATAGTTTTGCGCCCATTTGATGCGCTTTTAAAAATAAAAATCTATTATCATTATAAACAGCGTAGGCTTCTTCTCTCCAGACGCAAACGTGGACGGCAACGGTCGCTGTGTGGTGTGCGTGGTAGGAGAACAGGGTGGTAGGGGATGGGTGGTGCATAGAAGACGGTCTCACGTTGGGTCTGAATTGTTCCCCCTGGGCAGGTGTGGTCACAGCAGGCAAGCGAAGATGGCGCAGACTTATGCAACGACGTAGAAATCGTGCCCTCTTCGATTGCACCTGCCGATTGCACCTCTTGCGGGAAGGTTGCCAACTCGTATCAGCCTCGATTTCATTACTTTTCATTTGGGAATCCGAACGCAACCTGCGCACCCACGTGTGTGTACGGATACCCGAGCATCATGAATTAACACTAAGAATGGATAAAAATGTGGCGATCAATGTCATGCACATGGGCGTAGCTATCGGGTGTGCAGGCAGGGCAACTGCGTTAGAGCCAACTTAGCCAGACTTGCCCAGGCACGGGGATACAATGGGAGTGGGAGGAGCAAAATGTAACAATGGCAGCGGGGAGGGGGGGCATCCAATTTCATTCCCTGCACCAGAGCTCATGCCAACCACGTAACGGCACGCCACTGATGACACACTCTGTCTCCTGATATGTTTTTAAGGTCTTTCGAATGTGTATGTGTAGTTAAGTGAAAACCTACATGGTGATGACCACCGCCAGGCAGTGGCCCAGTTACAATATCCACCAACATTCAGAAACATAGCACCTCTCGCACGTAGTTTAAATCTAACCGGTCACCCAGCCACGTGCCGCAGTCTTGGCACCATCGCATGTCAGTTGATGTATAACCGCAGGTCGTGCAAAAACCAAATAAAGCTTTGCCTGATAATAACGAAAAAAAAAGAACAACGATGTTGACTGTGAGCGAGAGGTGCGATGAGGTGGGTCGCACTCTGACGGTCATTTGACGAGGTCACGCACGTAGGTCCAGCCCTGGCCCGCCCACTCTCCCGATCGCTGGGGCAGATTCGACAGCGCCAATATGGAGGTGTGAACGCCTGCGGTTGGGAACACACATGGGCATTCCAAGATAACGTTCGGTTTCAATTTCATTTCTCTCACAACGTGTTTCGGTACTGTCTCAAGCCACGCGCAGCAAGCTGCCTGCGAAGCGACCGCAGTGTTTTGATGCGTTAGCGGCAGCACGGAAGTCCGCGTGCCGAAACTCCAGCAGGGCGCGCCTATATGTGTTTAAAACCTGCGGTGGTCAAGTTGTTTGAGCTTTAAATACCTGAGTTCCAGGCAGATTTCACTGTTTCGCAGACGCCCACACCACTGGGAACCTGCAAATTGTCACACGGTGAGTTACGGCACAAGCTTCATAAACACCCTGGGGCGACTGAGCAAAGTGAGCCGTAACAAGATGGATTCCAACACGTTTTGGCACGAACATAAAAACCAAAAAAGTTTGGAGGTTTAAGATTCCTGGTGAAATACAAAACGTTACTTTATTTATGTTGCGCTGAAATATTCAGTGAAAATTCCCCACGGGTCACGGAGCTAAACTGAGTAACGACTAACCAAATGAAACAACAAATCTTTGACGGAGCGGGTTGTGCAATAGGACTAAAATAAATACGGGATAAACATTGTACAAAGTCCTGCGTGTTTTTTGTTTTTGCTAGAATGTGTGTGTGCGTTACATTCAGAACAGAATGCAAAGCCTTCCATTTAACATTCACAAACACATTGTGTTCTTTACAGGCTATAATGCCCTGTCACACTGTGGCAATATATACAATGAATCCCTGTTTATATTCATGCTAGTGCCATATCTTGAGGTTTTTAAACAAGCAGACAGATCAGTAACCACGCCAGTCTGCAAAGTTATCGCATGAGAATCCTAGCATTGAGTTGCATGACATTTCCAGAATCAATGACTTCGATATATCCACGTTTATATCTGGGATAGGCTACTCAACGGAAGATGAACTGTCAGCAAGTATAACTATCTGTTTATATTTTGGCATTGAGCGCATTCCAACAACGTTTGCTGGCCTCAGAAAATGCACATGCCAAGCAGTAAACAGCATGAACAGAGCACCTCCTGGTGGCATCCTTTAGGGTATTGCAGTGTGAAAGATGGGACTTCAAGGCTACACGAAACACAATGCAACATAATCAGCCAATCGAGACAGCTCCGCTCAAGTCTGATTACACATTCGATTCGAAGGGACAGCAGGTGCCTTTCCACAGTAGATACATTTCTTTACATATAAAACATGAGTGCATTCTATTCAGCCTAATGCAATAACTGTTATGGTTAGTCCAACGCAGTTGGACCTAAAGTGTTTAGCGGCATGGTGCATACTAACCTCAAGTAAATGTTGACGCATAGCGAATGAAGAGAAGCAATAGAGGCAGTAAAAATCGTATATATTTTAAAAAAGTACCGACTCGTGCATAAAATTATAACTCAGAATTGTAACAATTCATATAATGGCTGGCAGGGAAGTGGAGGGGGGAAGGTGAATCATTCATACAGAATACCCATACATACGTACAATCAACCATCCGTTACGTGCCTACGACCCACCATGGGTTGCTGTGGGCATCCGAGTGGGTGCTGATGACGAAGTGGGTGTAATCTCGCGTCACAAGAGTGGCAGAGGAAACATCATCCAAGTTTCAAGGATTCCGTGGGTGGGTGTTGACATATGGAGAGCACAGTGAGTGTGTGGTGTTAGGGTGCACTGTTATGTCATGGCCATAAGAGTATTGGATGCCTGGGCTCCGAGTGCTATGTTCCCACCTTTGGCAGGTAAGGGCCCACGTACGGTCCCAAGTATTTATTCAGCACGGGGCTGACTGTGTCCCCGAGGCGGGAGAGGGCTCCCTCCCCATCCTCGCCATCACGAAACACGCCTTGTGAGCTCGCAACGTACACGGCGCCTCCAGCCAACCCCAGCTTAACGCTCAGCCTAATGGGCAAAGTCACATTGCCGTTAGAACCACGAGAATAACTCATAACATATATTATTAACATCACTGCCGTCATCGCCATAGTATTTATTATCACCGTAATGACCATCACAAGAGACGTCATCACGATGACCACTATTATAATATCCACTGTTACCATTATTATTGGCACCTATATTCCTATCACGTCCTTCACCACCGCTATTGCTAAGAGATGACAGTAGTAAAGGGGGTTATTGTTTATGCACTGCCGTTGGTGAAAGCCTAGTTGTGCAATTCGGTATAATCATTGAGCTTGCTTCACCGCTGCCATCTGTTGGCCAAAACGTTGCAGCAGAGCAGCCTATAATCACGACCCGTTTAATACATGGTGGTGGCCCATCCAAATCAGTATCGAGGGCTCAGATCCCTGCTTAGCTTTCAAGATCAGGCCGCACACATCACATCACGAGCCATGGACAGATAGCCCGTGACGTGTCCACTGCACATTTGGTCATTTGTTTCCACTTGCCTCTGTCTGGTGCCAATATGCTCAAGTACCTGCCACATCTTTCTGGCACCGATCTCTTGTGTCGTCATCAAGCCATTCTCTGTGAAGTCTTCCCATCTGTCCGGTTCCTTCCATTATTCCTAACAACGCACTTGACATTTTCCCTGTTGTTGTTCCATACCTGTCAACCCCTTGTCAGTGCCCTACCTTATTACAGACCAATTTAGACCTTATTGGTCACCCCGTGCCCCTTATAAATCTCAACCTTCGTCCTTACAAAGTCCCATCACAAGGGAGAAACATAAAAGACAAAAAAAAATTTGCCCGTAATGAAACGGCTGTACGCTGTATGGACCTGAAAAACTCAGATTCCCTGGACAAGAATACGGGCCAAACTGTATGGGTTGACGCGGTATGGTGTTCACCCTAAATGTGTCCACGTAGTGCCAGTTTCCTTCTCATCACTGCCTGCATCAGGCCCCATTCCGGGTTAATTGGTCATGGACAATGCGTAATAATCTATACTGCCCAGCAATACACAATTGTGATTCTCCCTATTACTATTGCTACACGATCATCACAAACAGATTTTACAACAGTAACCGTCGACGTGCAGCAGATAAGCGAATTAAAAACGTATTGAACACGTGTAAGACGCATACTTCCAAGCGATATTCGGCATCTTGCAACGTTGCAATAATGTACGTATTATTCATAATACGGGTTGTTTTTTTTGGGGGGGGGAGGTTAGATCGCGTAAATTTAAATGTGTCGTTAAACCCGCCACCACCCGACACAGCCAATTAATAAAGTTTGTAATGTTAACAGAAAATGCCAATCTGTTACGAGTACAGCACACCGGTGTGTTGGAGAGCAAGATGGCATGTCCCTCTGATGAAGCCAGTTGTAATTACTGGCGAAACGTCGTACTTAGATTTTAAATGTTGTGGCTTTGCTCTCCAACACACCGGGTGTGCTGTACTAGTAACGAATTGACATGTTCTGTTTACGTGACAAACCTTACTAATTTGGTGTGTCGGGTGGTGGCGAGTTTAGCGACACATTTATATTTACTTGATATAACCCCCCAAAAGCAACCTGTATTGTGTATATCGTTAGCGAAAGCCTACTACGTGTTCAAATGTACGTATTGTATTCATAGAGCACAGTAAAAGCCTCGACATATGCCTCGCTTAACATTCGTCTCACATCAGCGCCAGCAAAACGTCACAAATAATACCCACGGACAAAGTAGCATTTTACAAACGTAACAATAAACTCAAATTATCTAAATAATGGTCAACTTTAATATTAGCAGACACCGTAAGGAGGGAGGCGGCTCGGCCTTGCGGTCCCCCTGGGCGACCGCCGCCTGACGACGGCATAAAATCTAGGCAAGCCCTTAGGCACCGGCTGTGGGCCTACTTGGTCAGCCGTCAGGTGTCATCTGAATGTCAAGTTCGCCTCTCAAGGTTACCCTCAAAATGTTGCAACGATGTTTAAAAAGGCGTCGCTACGCCTATCGGCAGCCTCCACTTACTTCGCCGCTTTAAAGAGAGCCATGCGGGCCCGCGATTCGGAGCCTCTGTCGGCGAAGTGAGATTCGCGGGCTGGCGACTGGTGACCAACAGCGGACCGGCGCGGTTTCTTGGGTTTCAACACCCCGAGGTGAAGCTCCCAGAATCCGCGTTCACCGAGGGAAAAGGAGGGTGGGGTGGGGGGAAGGGTTGAGGGTGTGGGCCCTCGCTATTCGCGGGGGCCCTCAAATCCGCGGCGCACCGCCTAACGCATTTGTCAATAGAGCCACCTCGGAAGGCGACGTGGGTTACCCCTCCAAACACACGGGTGTGCTGTAGCAGAAATGAATCGGTAACGTGCTCCGTTTACGTGACAGGCCCTTACTGATTGGCCTAAAATATGGCTTCTAGGGTTTGGTGTTATAATTTATCCATGTAGCTTATTGTTAAAAATTCGGTCACAGTCCCTACGATCGCTGTTACATTGTATATGTGGCTTTTATTTTGGTGATTTCGAAAAGTTATTTTTTTTGGGTTTGGCCATGTTTTTGTTTTGTTGTAGTACGGAGTTAGACTGATGGCCTTAATCTTAGTTGTCTTGTGGTTGTTGTTTGACTTGCATCCCACTGGGATTTTTGCACACAGCGTTGGTGTATGGTGCTATTTCAGGAATATTTTTGCTGTTTTTTTCCATGGATTTTCTGTTAGCACCGTCACATAGTCACTTTAAGATGTTTTCTTGTTCGTGTTTTTGTTTTTTTGTTTGTTGTGGTTGCACCCGATTCAAGAGCCGAATGGCTCACGGGGCTATACCAAAATAAACTGAACTGAACTGAACATTTAAGCCATATCCAGAGAAATAAACAAAACGGCAAAGCCAGGTGACTCAAGTTGTCAATGTGCATTGCTGGCATCGCCGAGAGCCTGGGTTTGAATCCAGGCTGCCGCCCGTCATTCAACTGTGTTCTCAAGTGTTTTCAAAATGGAAATATGGTTTTTGGGGGGGGGAGGGGCACAGAGCTTTGTGACGTCATATTTTAGAGGGGGTCTGACTTTGTGACGCCGTGTGACGAGGGGGGGTCAAAAATCTTCCAAAATCGCGTGACGTCATTTATGGACGGCCCCCAAGCAGCACATGGGTTAAACTGCAGTCATTGGTTGCACTAAACTGGTTGAAGTTTCGCCTGTCATTTACCCCCTTACGGTGTGGCCTGATGAAAATTAATACGTTTTCGCCTTCCTGGCAATAAAGCACGTGTTCAAATGTTCAAACACCAATAACTGCACAAAAATACCATTTCAGATGTGGTTTACGCACTCAACTATGGATAATCCCAAATCATCATTTAAAATAGCTTATTTTTCCACATTCTTGTATCGCATTGTTTTTTAGTGTTTTAAATGTTTACGATATGAAATAAGCATGAACATACAAATATAGAAAATTAAATACCCTACTTTAAAAAGTTACTGTATTTACTGTACCGTACTTACCACTCAAATCTCGAAGACTCTGCATGGGGCGATGTATAAACGTGCAGTATTTTCAACACATTCCTGCGGAGGGAGCTGGTAGGAACGTTGGGTTGCTTGGTCAATGGCCAGGGTCAACGGCGGCACCACGTGGTGTATTCCGCACATATGCCCGACTGTGAGGGCGGGCACAAGCCGGCGTGAGTAGGTTACACGTTGAGTTTTATAAGGGCACCACGGGGTGACCAGCCCCTCCCCACCCAGCCCCACCCTTCCAACCAGCACCTCCCCACCGTCCCCACCCAGCCCCTCCCCACCCAGCCCCACCCCTCCTACCCCCCACCCAGCCCCACCTTCCCCACTCAGCCCCAACCTCCCCACCCAGCCCCTCCCTCCCCACCCAGCCCCACCCCTCCCATTTTTGGATGCACGACGGACGGACACAATAATCCCCTGTGGGCTGGTGTAATAACCAGGAGGTTCCTACCAGTAGTAAGTTGTACGTAGTGTATAATGTGCTGTATACATTAGATACTGAAATCAAGTATTGCTACTTTTTGTCACGCACATGGTGCCGATCGCTGGACTGGTTACAGCCTTTAGAGAGGTCCGTTAAATCGATCGCAGAATTAGTTCTGCGATATCTCCTTCTGTGGACTGTTCCGTGACAAGGGTCGATGCAACGTTCTGCGACAGCTCCCGATGGATTCGTCTGATGATGCCAATAGCGCAATAAAACTTGAGGAACAACGTAAAAACACACAGGCACATTTATTTTCTCGGGACACTATAAATTTATTGTGATTTTATTACAGGAGGGTACGGCATCCAAGAGGATATATGGAGCAATGAAAACACTTGATGGGATTGTTACATCGCAGAACAGTGAGAGATGTAATCGACTTGCCTAGGCCTTCATCCAGCAGTGGATAGATCATGGGTGGTGATGATGACGATAGTACAGTCAAAACATAATTTACACTTTCACATCGAAAAAATATATATTTAAAATGTTTTCCAAACACACCGAGTTATTTTACATGTGCTATCGTAAAAGCAATAATATTTTTAAACTGCGTGAAAACCAAAACCTGGACACCACTATGCAAAGTTGTCCAACGTTGTTTCGCTCCATTTTCTGGGTTCCCTGGAGAAAAAAACATCGGACATCGCGGCGAACAGCGCGATGGCAACAACCCGCAAAAAAAAAAGACATTGGACAAACCAAGCTGGGAAAGCGAGACGTTTCCCCATGGCCACTCGACGACTTCCGCAAAAGGGGGGCCCCCGACTGCGTTTGCCACCGGCCGCCGCCGTCGAGGGGAAGAGGTCACCCCCAAAAGTCGTTGGAGTCCACGGACGAGCGGATGGTGTCCATGTTCTCGCGGCGTATCGTCGTGTAGACGTTGGCCTCGCCTTTCTGCAGTCGGCGCCGTGCGGCGGCCTTCTGCTGCTTCGTCAGCTGCCGCTTCACCTTCATGCGGATTACGTCCTGCGATGGGGGGGGTGCCGGGGGAGAATTAAATGGGGGGGGCGGTAGGGCGGGGCCGGGACGTCACGAGTGTTGGTTAAGAGCCAGGATGGCGAGATCTTAACGATCTCGCCATGTGGTATACACACACACACAGGAGCTCGTGAGTTCCATCCCGACCCTGAAGCCTGCTGTATATTTGGAGTTGGCATGTTATCCACCTGGTCGCGTGGATTTTTCTCTGGGCATTCCGTTTTTTTTTTCCCTCCACGTTAAGAAACATGCGTTTAGAGTATTTGGCTGCTGTAAATTTCCACATTATGAGCCAATTTGTCGAGCTATCATTTGTGGCCAGGTCACTTCTGAAAAAGAGCTGTATAGCTCAGTGGGCCCTATATGGTAAAATAAACAATTGTTTAGTTTGGTTAAGCAGGGCTGATGAGATACAGGAGCGGTAGTAATGGCACCTAATTGATGGCGTTATCCTTGTGCCAGCAGTGATTTGTTGAAGTCTCACAAATTAGTGGTGACTTATACCATTCTGCCCCTACAGGTATAATGTACATGGCTTTGTTTTAGACCACCCACCAAAAAATAGTCAAAATCGTGACGATATTATTCTAGAAAGGAGCAGGACAAAGATACAAGTGTATCCTTGTTAGGAATCGTCAATAAACTTTAGCCAACATTGCCTATAGCTGTTTTGTGCTTCAGGGACCTTATAAGAACATGAATCCAGCTACCCGAATTCGATTCCCACTCACGGCCAACACCGGTGATAAATATATGAACCGGTCCCGAGCCTTCCCGCTACGTCGACTCAGCCTCAAATAAGTACCTGGTGCAGTGTGTAAATATCGCCACTTTGAAGACAAAGGCGGCCGGGCGTGGTGCTGGCCATCCGCCAGCTCGTGTGCCGTGCCGGCCTTCATAGGTGCTCGCTAACAGCCCTTGCTCCGACAGTCTGTTAAGGCTTATGAGTGGGATATTTTATCTTTTGGCTTTGCATAACTCACAGGAGCGATGGTGGAGTGGCTGCTAAGGAAGGATGTCCCAGAGCACTCGCTGTCTGTCCGGTGCCGACGGCTGGAGGCGAGATGCTCGTTCAGGTGCTGCAGGCTTTCCTCATCTCTGTACACAAAAACAATGACAACTCCCGTATCACCTTAACAGATTGTTGGGGCAAGTGGTGTTAGCGAGCACCTATGAACGGTCGGCACGGTACACGAGGGGGTGGGTGGCCAATACCACGCCCGACCGCCTTTGTCTCCCCAGTGGTGATGCTTACACACCACACTAGGTACTCATTTGAGGCTGAGTCGACCTAGGGGAGGCCCAAGACTGGTTCAGATAATCGTCACTGTTGTCGGATGTGAGCGAGAATAAAATTCGGGTCGCCAGGTTCGTACAGCGCAGCGTGCCAACCGTTGGGCTACTGCTCCCCACACACGGATACAAGTGTGGAGGCTCTCCAGTCGCCATTACAAAGTTAAGCAATTTGTTAAAAGTGGCTTAGCATTCACGTGGCACCTTCTGGGTTAGATGAGAATTTCTTCTCTCAAGCTCTTGCCACGCACTCCTGCGGGAATCTGCACAGTCGCGAAGATGCCCGCAGGAGTGCGTAACAGCGAGAGCGCATGCGAGTGAATCAACACTGGGATTGAGTGGCTGTGAAAAATCCACGTGCCAAAATTGCTTAGTGTGTAAACGTGAATTTGCTTTACACAGAGTCAAGAAGTGGTACATTTCAATCAAATTAAAGAATTTTCAACCCTTTGTGTCAATTAGCTGCCGGAAGGCCTCCGCATTCTGTCAGGTGATGGGGTACATCACGTATTTATGAAACTCAGCAAAGGCTTTCCTGGGTAAAACAAGCATTAATAATAGGGGACCAGAAACCATGCACGCACGCCAAATTCATCATCACGCTCCATATAAACTAGGTAGCGAACACAGCCTAGATACTAGCTCGTGTCTGCTATTATGCTAAACAATTACCAATGAATTGTAATGATTCAGCTTGTGATTGTCTTGTTAGTCAGTTTTGTTTTTTTCCATTTGCCCAAACCTAACATTTGTGAGCCTAGCAATCAATTGCATTCGATGCAGCATTAATTGCCTAACATAAATCAAATTATTATTGGGGCATGAGTTTACAGTACATCACTGCAAAAAAAATAAAATCAAACAGAATATTTAAAAAATCATCACTGCACTCACCTGTACGGCCTGAACTCCTTATTCAACTCCGATAGTTTGACAAGGTCTTGGTCCACGCCTTCTTCCTCCTTGTCCGCCTTCTTTCCGGGTAATGCAGCACAATCCTCCTTACTCAGAACCTCCCGGCAAAGCTCACCGCAATCAGAACCGGGTGTGCCACCTTCCTGTGGCGGCCCAATTCTACCGACCTCCCGGCACAGTTCCCCGGAAGTTTCGTCTTTTACCGCCAGCCTGTCCACTTCTTCGGCCAGTTTGTCATCGTGGTCTTCGCGTCGGTCAACGTCGCGGCCCAAGTCAGCTTCGTGGCCGTGGCCGAGGTCAAACTCTGTCGTCGGGCCCTTCTCGTCGTCTGGGAGTTTGCGATCATCGTCCGGATTTTCTTCCGCCGGCGAGATTCGCGACTCGGCGTTGGGTGGCTCCGTTTCCGAGTCAGACGAGGCCGTGCCGTCGTCTCCATCAGGCCCGGCCGGGTGAAGGAGCTCATCGTCCTCCTGCAGGTCCTTGGTGTAGCCGCTCGCCGAGATCTCAACGTCCAGGTTCGTCTCGCGCCTGCCCGGGGCACGCACGACGGAATTGCGACGCAAGTGACAAAACATTTTACGATTACTTCAGCACACCGGTACGTTGGACAGCAATCCGCAGCATTTAACAATTTGATACGGCGTGTCGCTGGCAGCTGCAAACCAGCAGAATCATAATGAAGCGATGTGATGTCATTAACGTACCCCCCCCCCCCCCCCACAAGTAAACAGGAAGTAGCAGGAAGGAATGCGTTGAGGTTAATGCACAGGAGTAGTAAGACGCTGTAGTCTGCGCTCCTTCAAGGGGGGAACAGCAAAACTACACAAACGCTCTCATGGAGCGTGGCTAGAAGACCTTCGACATTGGCATTTAGCTCCTTAACATACTGCCATATGCAAGCATGGAATAAAATTCATTCGTATTAAGATTACAAAAAAAATGGCAATGTGTACAACAACGCATTGGAAATGTACGCACGTGATCCAACCCAAAAATGAATTATTCATCGTAATTTTGGTCGCAAAAGTCTACGTGTTAAGTGTAATTGGCAAACATTCATTGTAAGAGCTATGAAAAATACTGTTCCGGCATGAAAAACAAAGACACGTTGAACGGTGCAGGAAAGGAACAGGGACACAGAGTGAACGTGAGACTTATGCCGCTCTGCATCTATGTATGTAAAAAAATATTTCGCGCCATACATAACCAACTGTGCTAAATCGGAGGTGCGGGGCCAAGGACATTAAACTATCCACAACGAGCTCCGAGTGCCACCTGACGGGGAGCACGGCAGTGGCAAGTGATACGCACTTGACATCTCTGAAGGTCGGGAAGAGCTCGCTTTCGTAGGCGAAGCGTTTCGCGAAGAAGTCTCTGATGCACTTGACGTCACGGTCAAAGTACCTGCGGAGGTGCGGTGAGGAGGGGGGCGAGATGAGCTAATCAGGCACACGCAGCAGGCAACTGTGACGGATGGCGACATTAAATCACTACCAAGCACCGTTTATATTCTTGGTTCTTTCGGTAAAGTCACGTAGAAGGGAAGCAATAAAATAATAAAAATATAAAACAATAAAATTCTCACGACGTTTCGACTGCAACACAAGCAATCATCATCAGGTGTGAAAAACCACAACAAGAAAATTTGAAAAAAGTGGCGGTTATTTTTAACGTTAGCACCACGGATAGCGATTTGACAGTTTGTTCAGACGGACGAGTCCATCTATGTTCGGAAAAGAGGGGGGAGACGAAAAATAATGGATGCGGTCTGAAAGCCACCTTAAGCGTGATCAATCAATTAAGACCCGAAATGGTTTATCAAATCCTTCCAATGATTGCTAAGCCAGATTCCATCTTCTCGGTTGAAATTGTCTCTGTGTTTGTATATGTGGATAGCCTCATGAACGAATCTCTCACGAAACGTCGTGAGAATTTAATTGTTTTATATTTTTATTATTTTATTGTTTCCCTTCTACGTGACTTTACTGAAAGAACCAAGAATATGAATCCCTGCAGTCACGAAAGCTTTAAATCAAAATTTAAGCACTGTTTACTTCATGCAATTATAAAAATGAGCGTTTAACAGCTATTAAAGAAATGTATTGATGCTGTCTGACAAATTGTGCCTGTGGTGCAAAGGGCAAAAATAGCAATACAACTCAGCACAGCCGTCAATAACGGTGTGGCCTTAAAAGGAGAAAATATATACACTAAGGGACGCTTTGGGCAACAACCATTCTTCAATTTTTTTTTGCCGCTCCTGGAGTGCAAGGCTATCAAGAAGGCGCATTGTCTCACAGATGATTATCGTCTGCGGTAGGTGAACAGGTGGGGCGACGTTGCCACGTGGCTTTACCCGATGAGGTAATTTTCCCTTAGTGGAGGAGTTTAAGTACCTTGGGATTTCTTTCGCGAGCGATGATAAGTGGGAGCGGGAGATCGGCCGATGAATCGGTGCGGCGTCCGCAGTGTTGCGGGCGCCGTACCGTTCCGTGGCAGTGAAGCGGGCGCTGAGTTCTCGAAAAAAAGCTCGCGGTTTACAGGTCGATCTAGGATACCACCCTCACCTATGGTCATGAGCTTTGGGTAATGACCGAAAGGATGAGGCCGACGGTACAAGGGGCCGACATTCGGTTTCTCCACAGGGTTGCTGGGCTCACTCTCCGTGATCGGGTGAGGAGCTCGCTAATCAGCGAGAGCCTCAGAGTCGAGCCGCTGCTCCTCCGGATCGAGAGGAGCCAGTTAGGGTGGTTCGAGCACATGGTAAGGATGCTCACCAGTAGACTCCCCTTGGAACGCTACCGGGCAGCAGCAACGTCCCACTGGGTGAAGACCCCGGGGCCGGCCCAGGACACGGTGGTGGGACTATGACGCTCGGCTGGCCTGGGAACGCTTGGGAACTCCCCAGAAAGAGCTCGAGTGTGTGTATAGTAGTGTATAATGGAGAGTAGTATAGTCGTGTATAGTAGTGTGTAGTAGTGTATAATGTATAGGTAAGATAGTAGTGTGTAGCAGTGTATAGTAATGTATAAGTGTAGTGTATAGTGTAGTTGTGTATAGTAGTGTATAGAAATGTGTAGTAGTGTATAGTAATGTATAGTAGTGTACAGTAGTGTATAGTAATGTATAGTAGTGTATAGTGATGTATAAGTGTAGTGTGTATAGTGTAGTTGTGTATAGTAGTGTAGTGTAGTGTATAGAAATGTGTAGTAGTGTATAGTAATGTATAGTAGTGTACAGTAGTGTGTAGTAGTGTATAGTAACGTATAGTAGTGTATGGTAATGTATAGTAGTGTATAGTAATGTACAGCTAGAGGCTGCTGCTAGGGAAAGGGAGGTCTGGACCGCCCTATTCAACATGCTATTGCCGCGACCCTCGCCAGGACAAGCGGATTGAGAAACGAATGAACCAACCAATTTTGACCATGACACAATTTTTTCGTGATAAATACACCCCAAGCATTTGACCATGATGTCTGCTGACAAAGGGCCATTGCTCAAAACGTTGCTCATTGTATTTTCATATACAGCCATGAGTCAATACGCACTGCTCGACGAAGGCTTTCCCCCATTCCCCCACCAGTCGTGAGGGTATGTTGTGGAAGCCACGGAGGAATGTGGTAAGCGAGCAACAAGATTCTGTGGCCACAACTAAAACTAACGCCGCCAACGAATTTCCGACGGACGCCCGACAGACGCCGACGGATTGCCGACAGACGCCGAGGAATTGCCGACGGGCGCCGATGGATTGCCGACGGATTTCCGACGACGGATGCCGACGTGCGGTAGCCACCACTCGGCATTGGCGTGCGAGGTGGACACCATCTGCGGGAAGTCGATCATGGTGACGCGGTCCCGCTGGTCCAGCATCAGGTTGAACTCGTTGAAGTCGCCGTGGATGAGGCCGTGGTTCGCCAGCCGCACGATCAAATCCATGAGGTCGCTGTAGAGCGCCGCCGGGTCGGCCAGCTCGCGGATCTGGCAGCTGCTCGCGCGGACAAATCAAATGGCGAGCGCGCTATCGCGTTGGCGCCATGTTGCACGTACGATGAGCATCGTCCGCAGTTGTTACCATAGCGGGGGGGGTGACGTTGCTACGCGGCTTTACCCACTTAAGTCATCTGCGATGAATTTGCAAAATATAACACCCCACGGTATTGACCAGGACGTGCTGCTGGGCTTGAACCACGAACCTCTGGCAAAGATACCACCCACCGAGCACCGCCGCCCGGAAATTTAGATGTGGTGTCGCTCGAAGCCAGGCGTGAGGAACTTTTGGCCCATGTGGCGACATGAGGGCCTCCTCCCACTTCGAAATGGCACGCAAACGATAATTATCCATCACTGCAGCAAGCGCTGTCGCTGTGCACCTGGCATTGCACGGGCCCGGTAAGAATTATATGCACTGTATTTTCGACGATTCATACGGGGTATAATACTTGTACCACGAAGTAAACCAAAAAAATGATTTGTGGATCGAACCCATTGTGGAACAATGAAACCGGATCGTGGCCAGGGATCATAAGAAAACATGAAATCGTCGAAGTGAATATTTAAACGTGTACATGTACGGCCCTTTTATCAAAACACCCCTGGACAACGGCTTTCCCACGCCATTCCGGCCACGGAGGTTTTGTCATCGTAATGCATCACAGCGGTCACTGCGGGGTCGGTGAAGCGTAGGCAGCAGACATTGGAGCTTAATATAAATCGAACAGACTTTGCCACACTGCCGATAACGTAGTCCAGTAGCCGTCTACAACACTTGTTTTTACGCATGGCGTCACCCACCCAAGCACCATCTAGGCTCAGCCCGGCTCAGCCTCTGAGACCCGACGAGACTTGATGCGTCTCAGGCGGCTTGGTCATAGGCAAATCTTCACACAGCCATTCAACAGAGAACTGTTGATGTAGGCGTTTGGTAGAAAGCGACTCCGTCGTTCACACAGCGTGGGCCCATCTCCGTATTGGTGTGCGCGAGCGTGCAAGCGTTGACTTACAGAGGGTAACCGCTGAGGAGCTCCATGATGACCGCGTGTCGGGAAAAGTCGACGGGCTTGGGAACGGGGAAACCACGTTCGTACAACGCCTGCAGCGACATATGATTGTGGGGAGACATCACGGCAGTCCGTTATATCACTCTCAGCAGCACGGCATGTCCATCGACTAAGTCTATTACGGCATCCCCTCGCTATTCACGAACTTTCTATCGTTGATTTTAGCTATTCGTAAATCGCATCTGGAACTCTACACGACTGCACTGAGAGAAAATAGATAAGATAAAGTGATGAGAGAAAACGTGATGCGAGAAAGTGATGAGATAAAATGATAAGATGAAGTGATGAGAAATAAAGTGATGACATAAAGCCTATTTAAGTACATGTTTAAGGTAATTCATTAAAAATAAAATTTCTCCATAAGCCAATATCATTATCCGCGAAATTAGCTATTCACGAGTATCTCCGGAACATATCCCTCGCGAATATCGAGGGAATACTGTACTGAACAAACAAATACCACTCATCCCCTTCGTCATAACCACTGACTTAGAACAGAAAATAAAACAAATATATACATGGGGCAAACATTTTCGACGACAATACTTCTTTAATTCTGACGAGCCACAGCCCAAAATGTGAATTTTCGAAATGAAATATATTGAACCCCTAACCGGTGCCTCTGACCAAATCATCCAAAAAACGACCGATCTCACAGAAGTAGCTCTGTAACATCTGCTTTCCATGGGTCGGTCTCTTACACCGAGGGTCGCACTGCTCTGCGAAAGATTCGGATGGATACTTCGTCGCATGAAATGACTCCAATTCTACAATCGGGATAAGGATGCAAGTTGCAGGGTGGGTTCCGTTCACGTCTGAATCTCGGAACGCGCAAGCGGCTCATCATTAGAGAGGCGTAGCGCCGTTGTTTTTAAAGACATTGTACTTGCCCACAGAGAAGCGTAATGACACAGCCGCCGCACTCTACAATAGCTGGCGCTAAAAAACTGTGCCACACGCCCTCCCGCATGGCCTTGTGGGAACCCCGGTACTAATACAATTATTTTACTACATTTTTACTTCCGATTTTCGTTTTGCTGATGTACGCGTACGTCATCGGAATGGATTTGGAAGAAAAAAATGACATCATCGGAACGGCAAAAAGGTTAAGACGACAGCCTACGAGAAGGGCGCCGAGTGACAGCCGCGGTTTCGCTGCCCGGTGCTGGTCGCGTGCCGCCGCGTCGCCACCGCTACCTTCATGTAGGCATACTCCTTCATGGCGGCGAGGCGGGACAGGTAGAGCCAGGAGACGCGCTGCCGGTGCTTGTGGTAGTCTCGCTTGATCTTGAGGTTGCGGAAGGACGTGCGGCCCAGCCGGTGCAGCTTCATGGCCATCTGCTTCTGCTCCTCATTCGCCACGATGTAAATGTCTGGCGGTTGTAACGATCGAGTTTACGGGGGTCAGGCCACGCGCGGGTGCTTCAGGTGGATTGTTGTGTGACGAGACCGTGCGAGCTGGGCGATAGCTTGGCGAGACCTTAAGCCAGCAGCAAATAGATCATTGCTAAATGACGATTACGACAAAATTCCGATTATAGAATCCATCCATATTGTTTCACCCCCCCACCCCACGTTGTTATTCTTATGCTCACGATACGTACACTTCAACAATTAAAATCCATTCTAAATCCACACTTGCCCTGAATCGTGTGCGTGATAACCAATTCTTCTCAATTCGTACGTTTATAGCATCGGTGATTATATTACAGGTATGAAGATTAGTCCAGCTCCACTGTGTGCCTGGTCATTTTTATTCCGAGGGGTGCGGCGTCCGTACCGGATTCCTTGCCGACTCCAATCTGGTTGCCAATGGAGGACACGGTGTCCCGCGCCGCCAGCGTTTTCAGCGACAGGTAGTCGTAGCCCGAGAAGGTCAGCCGGTAGCCCTGCACAGCTGACGAGGCACGTGCGAGGCGGGGGGAGACATCGCTCCGTCAAAGTCATTCCGATTTTTGGCAATGGGCTCCCACCTAATTACGTAAAGGAATGCGATCGATGTTTACAACCGACTGCGGTGGTGTGGCACTGTGAACACCAAAAGTGAAAAGGTTGAGGTGTCACTGGTTGGGTTATGAGCTAGGGTCAGGGTCCCCCCTACACCTCCAATTTCCCCGCACCTCCGATTAGCAGTTGGCTACATATGGTGAGAAAGAAGTTCAACATGCATGCATACAAATAGGGGGACTAATAAGTTACAGTCGTGGTTAACTGGTTTATTATGTTTCTTCAAATGGTCAGGCCACGGGCCAGAAGTGACTCGCAAAGGCTCTGCCTCGTGTCTTGCTGAGCTATGGAGACACAAATGAGTGACACGATGTCACGTGGGGTTCACCAGCACACGCTCGTGCCACTCCGGCCCGTTTTGAACTATAGTCGAAGACCCCTGACTACGTTGAAGAACCCTGCATTCATAGGTGCAGAAGGCTTGAGACCATCCACTTACTAGACTTTGGAATCTGACATGAGCATCAGACCCCCCCGACCCCCCCCCGCGAGCAACGCAGCCCTCTGAATAGCTCTATTGCGACGAACAAATGCTCTGCGCAAGGGCCGCGCAGAGCCAGCCCAGTGTGGCGCCACTCCATTTTTCCTCCGCGGTAAACGCAGGCGTGCCGCCGATGCCACGCGCAACGAAATCGTCACTAGCCCCACCCCTGGCCCCGCTTTGCCCCGAGCCAGATTCGGGTGTCCTGTGAGGTTATCGTATCACGGTCTGGTCCCGGCTCGGCAAACGGCGCCTGTATACCCAAGGGTCCTACGCTGGCTCGGCTCGGCTGTGCCAGCGGGTAAAAAGGTAAGAGCGTGCCACGTACTCTTGGCACGTTCGTAGGCGAGCAGGCGGTGCTTGACAAGCTCCCGCAGCACCTTGTTGGTGCCGCCGTGCTTGAGGTTGGCAATGGAGGTGATGAGGCAGTTGGGCACGATCTCGTGGTTCTTCATGCCCATTTCAACCTGGTGAACACAACGCATCCGTGATTCTTCATCCCCCATCTCAAGCTGGTCAATACACCACGTCAGTGACAACAAAAACACACAAATGCGCGTACACCAGTTGGTGAATTAAGAAGAGCCATCGGCAGCTCCTGAAGAACTGCGCCGTGGTCATCTTATCTAAGATTGTCATCAACATCAACTTGAGCAAACGTGACCGACAGGCGCAGGCAGCTCGACAGAAGATGGACAGCTGTGGACCGGGTTCTCGCCACTATTAGGACTCATCGGGGCAGTATGAAACACAGTACAGCAACAGAATAGCAAAACGGGGGTCGGACGACGATGACGACGATGATGCCCGTATACCGCACTGAGTGTTAGGGGCCGTCCTTAAATGACGTCACACGATTTTTGACCCCCTCCCCTCGTCACACGGCGTCACAAAAAGTCAGCCCCCCCAAATATGACGTCACAAATCTGTCCCTCCCCCCCCCCAAAAACCATATTTCCATTTTGAAAGTAAAACATGCTTCAAATCGCTTTAAACTATTGTCATTGTAGTGCGTGTTTAATGTGGCGCTGCAATGTCTGGGGGGGATTCTCCATGCCGCCGTGGAGATGGAGCGATTAAACCCCGCCCCCCCCCACACTCTGTATAAACTAAACCCACCACCACCACTCTGTATAAACTAAACCCCCACCACCACCACTCTGTATAAACTAAACCCCCACCACCACACTGTATAAACTAAACCCCCACCATCACACTGTATAAACTAAACCCCCACCACCACCACTCTGTATAAACTAAACCCCCACCACCACCACTCTGTATAAACTAAACCCCCACCACCACACTGTATAAACTAAACCCCCACCATCACACTGTATAAACTAAACCCCCACCACCACCACTCTGTATAAACTAAACCCCCACCACCACCACTCTGTATAAACTAAACCCATCACCACCACTTTGTATAAACTAAACCCCCACCACCACCACTCTGTATAAACTAAACCCACACCACCACCACTCTGTATAAACTAAACCCACACCACCACCACTCTGTATAAACTAAACCCCCACCACCACTCTGTATAAACTAAACCCCCACCATCACACTGTATAAACTAAACCCCCACCACCACCACTCTGTATAAACTAAACCCCCACCATCACACTGTATAAACTAAACCCCCACCATCACACTGTATAAACTAAACCCTCACCACCACCACCACTCTGTATAAACTAAACCCATCACCACCACTTTGTATAAACGAAACCCATCACCACCACTCTGTATAAACTAAACCCTCACCACCACCACCACTCTGTATAAACTAAACCCTCACCACTCACTCTGTATAAACTAAACCCTCACCACCACCACTCTGTATAAACTAAACCCTCACCACTCACTCTGTATAAACTAAACCCTCACCACCACCACTCTGTATAAACTAAACCACCACCACTCTGTATAAACTAAACCCACCACCACTCTGTATAAACTAAACCCCCACCATCACTCTGTATAAACTAAACCACCACCACCACCACTCTGTATAAACTAAACCACCACCACCACCACTCTGTATAAACTAAACCCCCACCACTCTGTATAAACTAAACCCACCACCACTCTGTATAAACTAAACCCCCACCACTCACTCTGTATAAACTAAACCACCACCACCACTCTGTATAAACTAAACCCCCACCACCACTCTGTATAAACTAAACCCACCACCACCACACTGTATAAACTAAACCACCACCACCACTCTGTATAAACTAAACCCCCACCACTCTGTATAAACTAAACCCCCACCACCACCACTCTGTATAAACTAAACCCCCACCACCACTCTGTATAAACTAAACCCATCACCACCACTCTGTATAAACTAAACCACCACTACCACTCTGTATAAACTAAACCCCCACCACCACTCTGTATAAACTAAACCCCCACCACTCTGTATAAACTAAACCCCCACCACCACCACTCTGTATAAACTAAACCCCCACCACCACTCTGTATAAACTAAACCCATCACCACCACTCTGTATAAACTAAACCCACCACCACTCTGTATAAACTAAACCCCCACCACAACCACTCTGTATAAACTAAACCCACCACCACTCTGTATAAACTAAACCCCAACCACCACCACTCTGTATAAACTAAACCCACCACCACCACTCTGTATAAACTAAACCCACCACCACCACTCTGTATAAACTAAACCCCAACCACAACCACACACTCTGTATAAACTAAACCACCACCACCACTCTGTATAAACTAAACCCACCACCACCACTCTGTATAAACTAAACCACCACCACTCTGTATAAACTAAACCCCCAACACCACTCTGTATAAACTAAACCCACACCACCACTCTGTATAAACTAAACCACCACCACCACCACTCTGTATAAACTAAACCCACCACCACCACTCTGTATAAACTAAACCCACACCACCACTCTGTATAAACTAAACCCACCACCACTCTGTATAAACTAAACCCACCACCACCACTCTGTATAAACTAAACCCCCACCATCACACACTCTGTATAAACTAAACCTACCACCACCACCACTCTGTATAAACTAAAGCAATGTTAAAGAGAATAATCCCGGAGTAATGTTGCTCCTCAGGGCTCGCGTTATCCGAAGAGGCGCCTGGCGATTCTCTTGCGAGACACCGCAACGCATCAACTCACCGCAACCAGAACCCGAAAGTCATCCCTGGACAGGTATCTCAGCATCGTCGCGTTCAGCTTCCCCATCTCGGCGGCGAGGGTAACAGCGATAGTTTCTGTTTTAAATGTAAGTTGTTTAAAAGAAGGTAACGTGCAGAGTGGAAGATCGCAAAGACCACCACCACCACCACGAGGCTCCACTGTCCAGGATTGGATTTCGTAGCGCGGATAGGCGCAGCCGCCGCCGGCGTGGGGGTAGGGTGGGGGGGGTTGTTAAGCAACGAGCTCTGATTGGTCGGAGGTGAAGTTGAAAGCGCGTGTTGATTGGGTGGTTTGTGCTCAGGGCCGCCCCGCCCCGCCCCGCCCCGCCCCCCGCGCCCCCCCCCCGATCATCGTTCATATCGTCCACATGGGGGGTGTAAAATAATAAAAGGGTAAAAGCTATATTCTATTGTTATTTAGGTAAATTCACGTAGATAGAAAAAAATTAAAAACAGAAATTAAAGTGATAAAAAAGAGTAAAAGCTAACCTTATATATTTTTTTCATACTTTGATACTGACCAAAACAGTGTATCCCGTGATAAAGCTGCTCACCCCGAGATGTAAATGCTCTGACCCGTGCATTGCCTTTGTACTGTTCGCCTTTTGAAGTCGTTCTCTGCTCTGACACTGGTGGTGAGACGAGGCCCTAAGGGGGCATCCATAAATGACGTCACGCAGCTAGGAGGGGTGGGGGGGGTTTGAGAAATGTGACGTCACATCAAAATGCGCAACTTTAAATAAATATAGACAACACGTTCTACTTAATTAAATAGACTTTTTAATAAATGTTTTCTCCTACAACATCAGAGTGCAGCGCCACATTAAATACGCACTACAATGACAATAGTTTAAAGCGATTTGAAGCATGCTTTATATATTTTGTTTGGGGGGGGTGGGCAGAGCTTTGTGACGTCATATTTTAGGGGGGTCTGACTTCGTTTGACGAGGGGGGGGGGTCAAAAATCGTTCAAAATCGCGTGACGTCATTTATGGACGGCCCCTTTGTACTGTTCACGTTTTGGAGTCGTTCTCTGCTCTGACACTGGTGGTGAGGACGAGGCACTAAAGAAGGTCGTCCCTGCTGTAGACCCATCGCTTTCGATGACAATTTGCTACTATAATGAGCCAGGAATGTCTGTGTCCCCCGCGTGACGTCACTCCACGTCGACCAGCCCCTCCCCCCACACCTCATTAATAATCATGAACAGGTGACGTCCTCCACATGGATCCGCCCCTCATTAATAATCATGAGCGGATGATGTCACTCCGCATGGAGAATCCCCCTTATTAATAATCATGAGTAGGTGACGTCACTCCAAATAATAATGGACACCCCCCCAGCATTCATATTAATTAGCGGGTGACGTCACTCCACATGGGGGGGGAGGGGCGTGGCGCCTCCTCCCCCCTCCTCGGCGTCAACTGACAACCCTCACAACAAAGGCAGAACGTCACGTCATCACGTCACGTGATCTCCGTCACGCTGTTGTTGAGACATCGAAGTAAAAAGGACGTCGTGCTGAACAATGAAATAAGTCCGTGTCACTGCGGCCTTACAAATTGCATCACGAATTCATGCAACGAATATATCACGTCGCGCTCTGCTTTTCGCTTGCAAGTTTCAGATTTACTGCAATAAACCCGTCCTTGGACGGGCAAAAGGCGAGTGGATCAAATTATATCAGAGCATGTTTTGTTTGCATGTTCACCATCAGTACGTGTGCTCAATGCAGACTTGATTCCTTGCAAAAGGGGTTTTATTTGAACATGTTGACACATATTCTTGGTTCTTTCATATTCTTTAAATCAAAAAATATAAATCTTGACACCTGTTTTATTGCCAGAAACGGTAAAACCTATTATTATTATAAATTTTTATCATAAATGTGTCGTTAAACCCGCCACCACCCGACACAGACAATTAGTAAGGTTTGTCACGTAAACAGAACATGTCAATGTGTTACGTGTACAGCACACCGGTGTGTTGGAGAGTAAAGCCACAACATTTACAATGAGTACGAATTGGCTGTCGGGTGGTGGCAGGTTTAGCGACACATTAATATTGACGCGATCTAAGGGGCCGTCCATAAATGACGTCACGCGATCTTGGACGATTTTTGACCCCCCCCCTCGTCACACGGCGTCACAAAAAGTCAGACCCCCCCCTCAAATATGACGTCACAAAGCTCTGCCCCCCCCCCCCCCAAATAATAATATTAAACATGCTTCAAATCGCTTTAAACTATTGTCATTGAAGTACGTATTTAATGTGGTGCTGCACTCTGATGTTGTAGGAGAAAACATTTATTTAAGAAGTCTATTTAATTAAGTAGAACGTTTTGATTTAAAGCGTTCGTGACTGCAGTGATTCATATTCTTGGTTCTTTCGGTAAAGTCACGTTGAAGGGAAACAATAAAATAATACAAAATATATGTAAAACAATAAAATTCTCACGACGTTTCGACTGCAACAAGAATATAAGTAGAACGTGTTGTCTATATTTATTTAAAGTTGCGCATTTTGATGTGACGTCACATTTCTAACCCCCCCCCTCCTCGTCACATCGTCATAAATGTCTGACCCCCCCCCCCAGGTTCGTGACGTCATTTATGGACGGCCCCTAACCACCCCCCTCCCACCCCCCCAAAAAATCCTGTATAATGGATAGTTGATGTAAGTAGGCGGCGAGGAGACGTGAACTACCCCGCCGGGTATGAAGGAGGACCGTGGGTTCGATCCCGACTCTGAAGCCTCTTTGTTGTTGTATATTTGGTGGATTTTTCCACGTTAAGGATCAACGTCACCACGCGTTCAGGGTGTTTGGCTGCTGCCGCCGCTCTAAATCTCTCCACACGACGATAAGCCACTTCTCGTTGAGCCATCATTTGTGTTCGCCGGGAAGCTTCTGAAAAATAAGCTAATAAGGGGCCGTCCATAAATGACGTCACGCACCTGGGGGGGAGGGGGGGTGTCAGACATTTGTGACGATGTGTGACGAAGGGGTGGGGGGAGGAGGTTGAGAAATGTGACGTCACATCAAAATGCGCAACTTTAAATAAATATAGACAACACGTTCTACTTAATCAAATAGACATATTCTTAGCTCTTTCGGTAAAGTCACGTTGAAGGGAAACAATAAATAAAAAACCGGTTTGCAAACCGGCACACCTGATGACGACCGTTTGTGTTATGGTCGAAACGTCGTGAGAATTTTTATTGTTTTATATATATTATTATTTTATTGTTTCCCTTGAACGTGACTTTACCGAAAGAGCTAAGAATATGAATTACTGCAGTCACGAAAGCTTTAAATCAAAATTTAAATAGACTTTTTAATAAATGTTTTCTCCTACAACATCAGAGTGCAGCTGCACATTAAATACGCACTACAATGACAATAGTTTAACGCGATTTGAAGCATGTTTTATTTTATTTGGGGGGGGGGGGGCAGAGCTTTGTGACGTCATATTTGAGGGGGGTCTGACTTTTTGTGACGCCGTGTGACGAAAGGGGGGGGGGGTTAAAAATTAATCCAAAATCGCGTGACGTCATATGGACGCCCCATAATTAGCTCAGTGGGTACAATAAAAAGTTTAGTTTTAGGACGAGTCTCATTTGCATGTGAAGAAACAAAAGTCACACGTGGTGGCGCTGTTGGACACCTTTTTAAACTCCACTACCGCATTGTTATTTAAACATATTACACGCGCATTTCTGACTAAACACTCCAAGGTTAGTAGTCAACGTTGGCCCAACGTTGAGATAATTTCTGGGTGGCAGGGGTGATTACAATGCATCCATTAAAATGTTAATATCGGATTTATTTATTTTTTTACATCACGGTACGTGCGTCGAATTGCACGTGCAAGAATTGTTTTTTTCGATTTGTTCTTTGTATTAGGTGGTCGAGACTAACGATGGAGTGGCAGCCAACGGAGGCAAAACGCCCCAGGGACGACGCCAGCGGAGGAGATGGAGCGATGGATTCGGATCGTGTGCAGACGGTTTGTTCGCATTGCGAGACGCAGGTGACGATGGCCCTGTGGAAGTCTTCATCAAGCAGTGGATTGATCACAGCTGATGATATTTTTGGTGTTTAAGGGACGCGGTGGCGACCTTGTGTTCGATTCCCACTCACGGACCAACAGCAGTGACGACTATATGACTATATGAGCCTCTAACCCTAGGTCGACTGAGCCTTTAAATGAGTGCCTGGTGCGGTGTGTCAACATCGCCGCTGTGGGGAGACAAAGGCGGTCGGGCGTGGTGCTGGCCAGCCCACGGCCTCGTGTGCCGTGCCGGCCTTCGTAGGATTGCTACTCGCTAACGGTACTTGCCCCAACAGTCTGTAAAGGTTAGAGGTCGTTCATAAATGACGTCACGCACACCTGGGGGGGGGGGGTCAGACATTTGTGACGATGTGTGACAAGGGGCGGGGGGGGGTGTTTGAGAAATGTGACGTCACATCAGAATGCGCAACTTTAAATAAATATAGACAACACGTTCTACTTAATGAAACAGACTTTTTAATACATATTTTCTCCTACAACATCAGAGTGCAGCGCCACATTAAAAACGCGCTACAATGACAATAGTTTAAAGCGATGTGAAGCATGTTTTATATATTTTTTTGGGGGGGGGGCAGAGCTTTGTGACGTCATATTTGAGGGGGAGGGGTCTGACTTTTTGTCACGACCCCTTATACGGAGGGGGGATCTTTGTCTTTGGTGGCAAAGTAAAAGTTATAGTAATAGGTTTTTACCCTTTTAACTGTCACAAAAACTGACACCTTTATTCAAGGCATCATGTTTGCAATAACCACAACACAAGCAGTCAAAAATGCAAACAAAAAGAGACAACTCTGATAATAATATTGGCACTGTCCTTGAATTTGATTGGTCCACACCCGAGACGGCTTTTCTTAGAGCCCAGTCTCCACTGGTGTTGGGACCAGAAGACGCCAAAAGGCGTACAAATAAAAGTAAAAGTTTCCTATGACGCCTGCATCCACGAGAAGACACGGCATTCACTGCCACTTAAAATATATATATCACACCAATAATATATTGTATTTTTAAAATATTTAAAATGTATATATACCGTTGGGATGCAAACATACATTTTCAATTTTTAAATAACGCATGCAAAAACATGTTAATCTTGTATGGGAACATTACATATTTAATTAATG